ATTCCAATAAAGCAGAAGCCTTGGGTGAATACTTTGCCACTGTGTTCGCGAATCCTTTGAACATCACCCCCTCTTCCTCCCACCCTCCTTCTCAAACAAATTGAACTCTGTTTATTTTCACCCTGCGGAAGTGAGAAGAGTCTTGAGGTCCCTAAAACCTTCGTGTATGGAGCCGTACGATGGCATCCCTCAGATACTCTATAAAATATGTGCAGATACTCTTGCCAAACCGCTTGCTGATATATTCAATCTTTCCCTGTACTTCGGTGAGATTCCCTCCCTTTGGAAGGAAGCCATTGTTACAGTTGTGCCTAAAACTTCCGCAGCTGAAAGTGTTGCCGATTTTCGCCCCATTAGCCATAATTCTGTGCCCATCAAGATTATGGAAAGAATTATTAGAAGTAAATTACTACTTTGGTTAGAGAGGTTCCATCTTGTTTCGCCTGAGCACCATGGCTTTGTGCCAGGCAAGTCAACTGCAACTAATCTTACTGAGGCCGTTTTTGATTGGAAATTAACCTCGAGTTCGAGAAAATCTGTGGATATTATATACTTCGACCTTTCCAAGGCCTTCGATAGAATACCTCACCGTTTGCTTTTTTGCAAACTAGAGAATATCGGAATTTCGGGAAACCTACTAACTTGGTTTGAGTCTTACTTGAGCAATAGATGCATGACGGTAAAGATTGGTCATGAATATTCCAGAAAATTTCCCTGTCCCAGTGGAGTTCCTCAGGGAGCTGTCCTATCTCCTTTGTTATTTTTGGTATACACTTTGGACCTGAGATAGCCCCATATCCATTCAGCCTTTCTAAATCAAGGACTATTCAACACATCTTACTGCAACAGTCCTTAGTACCAGTGGCGTACCGACCCATTCTCGGGGGGGGGGGCATCTATCACAAAACGCATACCAGGAATTATTTTGCATTGAAATGCACGCTGGGGGCTACTTATTTAATCAGAGCAAGACGCTGCTCTGAGGGAATAATTTTCATGCACATTCTTCACAACTGGCTGGTGCAAAAATAATGTCCATTTTGCTATGCCTCACTTTGAAATCTATAACTTCGTCCACTCTTCATATTTTTGGATGCAGTTAAGAGCATTCAAGCAACAAACTTTCGGTAACCTAGCCACACCTGCTTATGCTGATATCGCAAACAAGAAGAAAATCATGCTTCAAAAACCCAAAGCTTTTCATTTGAAAATCCTGTCTTTGGGGAATTACAGCCCCCTTCAAGTTTTGTATGTGGGTTAATCAGCTTGTTTTGTAGACGCAAGCCAGTACATTTGTTTAGAATTTAACGAAGGAGTTGTGCAAAAAGGAAACACAAAAATCCAAAAATTTTCGCTTTTTCGACCTGTTTTGGCCAGAAAGCTCCAAACAATAAAAATTTGGAATTTTTAATGCACTGAATAACTAATTTTTGCAAAAATTGTAGGCAAGGAGTCCTAATATCATGCTTACAGAAATGAGCAAAGATTTGGCGATTGCCTTAGTCAGGAAAATGCGGCAAGGAATATCTATGATATTTTAAGGAGGGCTCGGCACGAGGTGGCTTACAAGCAAGCTGGATATCGTTATTGGGACGAAAAGCAAAGGGGGTTTCGTTTTTGTGACCGAAGATACACGCAAAATTGGCGATTTGGAGACGTTTTTTTTTAGTCGACGTTTCGTTTTTTGGAGGATTTTTAGGGAATATGGTGGGGTACCAAAGGGGACTTCGTAAAAATACCCAAAACTCAAGGGGGACTTCGTTTTTTGCATTTTCATCTAGCCACCTCGTGCCGAGCCCTGATTTTGAGGCGTCGTTTTCTGTCGAGATTCAGATTCAGAGTCCAGATTTTTCCAAAAATTTGCTTAAGCATACAATAGGTAAAAGATATTCTTTCCACAGTGGCTATGTTTTCAAGAGGATCAAATTATCTGGGCCTGAATTGTGGCCAAGAAAGTGAAAACGATGAAATTTCGATTCTGAGTGCGGCTGTGCAAAATGCTGGATTCTCACAAATGAGATAGAAGCTTATCTTCAACATTATTGTAAAATACATGAAGAAAACTTTTCAATTATGTGCAGGATCACTATCCAAAAAGAAAGTTTGATGGGGAAAAGTTGTTCGGAAAATAGGCCTGGAAATACGGACATCATTTTTACATCAACCATGATTACAATATAATAGTCTTGGGTCATTTCTAATAAACCATACACGCTCTACTCCTATAATCACGTCTTATGCTTATTAGTTCCTTCAGGAAGCGGCTAAAAACTCGAATTGAGCCCTCTGATGGCATATCACGAGTTGGTTTTGAGCAACGTGTCAGAAATTTCCTAATCCCCTTTCCAATATCTTCGATATCTGACTTGTGCTGCGGACAGATACCTGAAAAGAAGCTATCGTTACTGCTGCCCTACAGGTACCCAAATTGTAATCCTTGGTTTGATCAAGACCTATAAGCATCTGCTCAGGTCCAATCTTCACTTACGTATATGACTGTTAGTGTTGGCAGAGAAAATCCCGATCATTATTCATAAATTGTAATTACGCGAACTATATGAAGATTTATCACACTACTTTCACGAGTACGAGACGCATCTGTTTCTTTCCTGGAATTGACCACATTGAACACAACAAAAATTTTAGCGACTAAAGGATCGTCTATCGTACTGCTCCTTACTCGAGAAAATTGTGTGGGAGAGGAGCATTTCACGAGGCACATCGACTGAGCTGCTTGCTTAAAATAATTTGAATATGGTCTCGTAAAATTAAGTTACATGCATAATATCGAAAACCGCAGCACTGTCAGATAATTGGTGAGTTTAGAATAGTCATCAATAACAATTCACGTATTACGTGCCAGAGAGTACCAGTTCCAGAATATTGCATTGACATCTATATACTAGGTATGTGCAAATTACACATTTTTTGCTCGAACAGTAGTGATTTGTGCAAAAAGTGAGTTTCTTCCAAACATTTGGACTTCGTTTTTGAGTAATTAATCTTTTCCAGTTTCCAATGTCGTTAGTGAACTCGTTTTTTCAAACAATTTCAAGTAAAAATTTTTACTTTTTTCCGTTTAGGTAGTATTCATGACGTTTAGGTAGTTTCACGTAAGTCATGTTCACGACATTTATTATGCATGGAGGATCTCAAGCGTTACAAGACACTAGTCGGAGGAAAAGCAATATTAAAGAGTTTGCAAACTATTAGTTTGGCTAAAAAATAATTTCGTTTTGGCATAAAAATCTTATAAAAAGTTTTCTGGTAGTTTATGCACGATTTTTGTGAAGAAGCAGATGAAAGTTTCTTTTAACATGTCAACTATTAGGATTTTAAAATATTAGTAAAAACAGTTATGCCCTAATATGGGTAAAATTTTAAAAACTTAACTCTGCCACTTTCTAGACTTCGTTTTCTAGCTGTAATGGATGTAGAGAACAGCAATTTCGTATTTGTATACGGATGAGTTTTATCTACTTGGCAAATAACAATGAAAGTTGTAATCTGCCACTTTTAAATTTTTTAAGCAAAAAACCAAATTTTCGCGTATTATCCCACAATGAGAAAACTAGGGTTTTCCAATTTCATTGGAGATTAAATTCTACTTTAACAGATTTTACATTTCAATCCTCATTCAAGTGATCTTTCCAGAGATACCGAATACTGGGCAAAAAATTGTTTGCAGCATTTGTAGGAACCGTAATACGATTAAAATTATTTATTAAACAACTTTCTGTATACTTGTCGATAATGCTGCAGCTAGGTTAGTCGCTTATAAGTGGGGAACCTTTCATCGACTCAGCCACCTCATTACTTGTTTTTGCTTTTCAGCCAGCTTTCATGTTTTCTCAATAAGGATTGCGTGCACCGACTTGACCTCGCGAGGATCTTAAAGAAACTCACAGCAGCAATTCAAGCGCTGTCTTGTCGATTGACTTACAACAACCTTTTCTGGGGTTGTGCATACGTTTTCACGCTTCTATCAAGATTACGCTTTCCATGAAAAATGGGCTGTAACGAACCAACCAACTGCATGGCTACGATTTGTAATAAAATGTGAGATTTCTGACTCGCAAAGAAGGCTGCTGTGCAAGAATACGTGCTGAGTTTTGCAACTGTGAAAAAACTCGCAAACACTCAAAACTATCAATAAAGTTGAGTGTCACAATAAATCCATGACTAATTAAACTTGAGAACGAATGGTATATGGGTTCGTTCAGAAAACTATTAAGATGAGCATTCAGAATACTGAAAAATAAATTGATCTTGAATTTGGACGAAAATCATTTAAGCAGTTGATCATGAACAAAAATTTTGCACTGGTATGGCAACGTGTTTCAGTGATGTATAGGGCATTCAAAAAACGTGTCAGTGGCGCGACCGCGCGCGACACGCACGCAGCTCCCAGCAACAGCCTTTTTAGGTTTTCATCTCTATTCGAATGGTTTTTTTGCATACATATGACAGTATCTAGACATTGAAAGAGACTGAACTGAGAGGTGATGCCTTTGTATAAGTGTTTTCTGTTCCTATGGGCGCAAAGACCGCAGTCATCCGTCGTCACAATTTTACAAACGACCTTAGCAGAGCTTCACTTTGCACTGCAGAAATAAATTGCGAAAAACGTAAGAAGAGTGCAAGACAGGCTGTTTAGTTCAGAGATTACGTGATGATTTTCGTTTTCCACTCAAGGCTGAATGACTGGAATAAGATCTGGCGTTACTTATATTGTGACTTTCTGCAACTACTTCATCTCATATGTGAGGTGTAAGCTAAACTGGAGTCAAAGTACAATAGTAGTACATAATCAACCTATATTTAGAATCAAAAGGTAGCACTTTCTGCATTCAAGTGGTTTTGAATTGAAAGAGCGAAACAAGCAACGAATTTGACGACTATTTCAGTATGAAATTCTGCAGAGTTACTGCACTTTTTGGTTTTATTGAGAAGTGGAATCACTTTTATCTATAAGTAGCCTCTTCACCAGTCCTCCAGGAATGGAATTTTTCGCCATCATTTTGATGGTTAGTGACTTTTTTTGCCAATACAGACGTCGAATATTATTGTAGGTTGCAGTCATGTCTTCTTCTGAGTACTTAGACAACGACATTCTGGCGATGACCAATGAATTTAATAGGCAGCTGAATTATTGGGCAGGACTTGCACTCAAAAAAATCTTTGGTAAACTGAAAGTGGTAGGTTAAAAGTGAACGAAAAACTTCATCGATTTTAGAAGTATATGGAGCGAAAAGCATAAAATGATGGTTTTAGTGTTTCAACAAGATAAATATGAAGCAAGCCGGACAATTCACAACATACATCAAAATCTTGCCTAAAGGCGGTATTCAGACATACGAAGGCGAAGCAATCGTTTGGAAGCGAATTGAGAGGTAATTTTTTTGATTCTGTCCATCATGTACTTTTTAGTCTAAATTTAAGCTTGCAGAACTGTTCTTTTTACCCCTCTAGCCGTTTATCCACAACTGGCAAAATATGGAGTTCAATTAGAGCGGGTACGCCCTTCAATGATTGATTCTGTAAGATCGTGTGGTTAAGACTAAATATGAGCGACATGACATATTGGAATTTTGCCTTCGTACACTCTGTAGATCTGTTATGCTTTAGCCTACTTTGACTTTTATTGTTAGTAACTCTTTATCATGTCTTTTGCCAACTTGGGGTATCATTCTAAATAGCGATATTCAACTTACAGTCAGATTTACAGTAGCAAACCATCAATCGCTCTTCATTACTGTAGGATTACGGTAGGAATTAGACAGATTTTAGGAAATTAACGGCAAAATTTCACAAAATCTTGTATTGGACTAATCGAATGTTCGTCAAAAGTGTGGTTACACCATTCAGCTACTGGTAAAAATTTGTATAGTGAAATCAGCCTGTAAACCTTGCCAGCAAATTCTTAAAATTTTTCCAATTTTCTTCATCAAATGGCCTACATCGCAGTGGCGCTTTATGTTGAAAGTCATACCATAATAATACGGTAATGAAAGTAACTGATGATTTGGTCCATACTCTCAATCTAAGTTGAAATCGCTCTACAGAATAGTGCCTCAATCTCGGCGAAGAACATAAAAGCAAGAGGGTTAATGGTCAAATAGTGTTCACATTTTTCTGAGAAACCCTGTATAATATGTGTTATTCAATTTTCAAAAGCGCTTGACCCTGATATTTTAGCATTTGCTCCCTGCCAAGAGGATTGTTTACGGCTGTTGCGGTGCATATGAGAATCATGGCGGATGCATAGTTTGTGTTATCACAAATTCATTTGATTTAAATAAATGCAATAAAGTGTAATTGACGCCGAAATGTTGAATGTACAACCATGAATCTCTAAATGGCGTCGCTAAAAGCTTTTTGACGTAAGCAAAAAGACGCGATTTCGGCGCGAATCGACGGTGTGAAATGCGAAAACTAACCGCTTCAATTAACCTATCACCGTCTCCCGATTCGGAAATAGCAGAAAGATTGCAGACATTTGTTAAATTCGATAACCTTGCTGAGCTTTCACTTGAAACATTGTTTCTCCAACTTTCTAGCAAATGGAGATCTCGTTTTATAATGTCAAGCTTCCGCTTCTATCTATACTGGGGTTTGTGATATACACATTCGGGTAAAGGAACGAACACCTTAATCAGACACCGCCCCGCGGATCAGCAGTCCGCATTTAGTTAGGCTGCATGATTTCAACAAGTAAAAATAATTGTCTGGACGATGTGGGGACTTGTAGGTTACACAGCAATGCTAGCCTTCAAGGAAGACCAATGACGAACTATAATCCATCTAATACTCTTTTTCTAATAGTTGTGATTATATATGTGATTATATATGTAGGTTGAAGGAAAAAAATGCAATTTTGTGTCATGTACAATCGGGCAAGCTGGAATGAAAATGAGTGAGTGGGATACTGTTTAATAGGGCAGAGAAGGCTTTGCAAGGTAGTATTTCATTTGAGTTTGACAACGCTGACGCCTAAATTTAAAAAATTTGAATGCCCAAAGCACGAAAAGATCGTATCTTTGCTTATGAAAATTATACAGATCTCATTGCAAAAGCTATAAAGTTGTGTCTGTAGCTTTGCCAAAGCATAGAGGTGCCTGTAGCTTTGTTGCAGCTGGGAAGTATCGCAAATATTAGGTTGTCCGGAAAATAATGTCGCATGGCATTCTACCGCGACAGAATGACCACAAAAAAATAGCGAATGGGGTATCATTTGATAGAGCAAAGCAAGCTCTACAAGATAGTTTACAAACCTACGCGGAAATCGTGCTCCACCTGAAGTTCGAATCCAAAATGCAAAAAAATTTAGATGTCCAAAAAATCGTATCTCGGTTCATAGACTTCGTATGGATCTCCAATTTGCACAGGCATGTACTCTCTACACTAGACGTTCACCTGTATAGTTTGTGGTATTTTTCCTTGGCTACAGTACGAGAAATAAAAATAGGCCATAAGTGCGAATATGTCGCGTTTTCCGGATTTTTTGCAAACAATTTGATTTCTCGAAAACTAGGGCTTGTCTAAAGCCGAAAATTCATGGTTATACTCCTAAAGGTTCATGCTACAGAATCACCCATGTGAGAGAAGCCCAGGATTATTTTGGCAAAAATGTACCGAATTTCGTTTTCTCAATTTTCAGCCATGGAAAATCCGCAAAAATGTGCATACGTGTGTCTCGTACAGTGAGCAAGTTAGGGTTCCCAGGGCTTTTCTGAACAGAGATACGATTTTTTTCGTTTTTTTAGATCTTTAGTGCCTTGTGAAATTTGGCTCCAAACTTCACGCAGATCAAACCTGGCGCAAAAAATCGAGCTTCATTTTGTAGAGCTTGTTCAGATCTATCGGTTGGTACCCCATTTACTTACTTTCGTGCTCTTCACGAAAGTAAGTAAATGGGGGTACCAACCGATAGATCTGAATCCTGCCACGATTTTGCATGTTAAAATAAAAAGCGACATTATTTTCCGGACAATCTAATACATTCTGTTGATTTTTACAAGCACAATCGTAAATTTTCAACCTTCTACAATTTTCAGTTCTTTGAGTATCAAAACTAGGATAATAAATATGCGAAAAAAAAGTCAAATCAGTGTTCCTTGAGAATAGCCGTCGTAAAAGGCTGAAGTACAGATACATAGATTTACATATGTGAAAACTGCTTAACACTGCTCTGAGATTATCATAAAACTGTTTTTCAAGTCTTAGAAGAGTGAATATATATCAACCTTACATACGAATGTCGATGTAGAATCTATGCATGTAAAGGAGATTGTGCGCTTTGCGCTCCGCAAAAGTAGATTAACAAGTAGAAGTAGGGAGACTTAACTGACTTATCGTCGAGTCATTCATAACTTAATATGTGAGCCTGCACACAAAGCATTTCAACGGACGGCACCCTCAATATTAACTTCTCGATCAAATCTTTTCTAGTGTAACAAAGTGTAAAAGTGTATACTACTGCCTAATTAGTATCCTTTCAAGTCAAAAGGGGAAAAGAAGCAAGGCGAAGTCGCTGAAATGAGCGGGTTCCAATCTTTTGAGTTCGTCAAATAGTGCGTATGGTGTGCAATACGCATACTAAGTTACAAATGACTCGAGCATATGTTTTTATGCACTTTATTTGCATATCTTCGCTTCTATACAATTACTACATGATTGCGAGATGGTACTGCGACTATCACGAAATGAATATAGTGGTTTACCCTCATTTCACAGATTTATCTGTGTCGATTTTGGAGGTTGTACTCTCACATATTTAAATTCCAAGCAAACGGGGTATAGAATTTTGAGAGCATTTCGTTTGCTGACGATTAACGTCTTTTAGTATGGACTTAAATAGAGAAGAAGATTACTTATCTTTCTAAGCGTTAATATTGATTTCAATATTTCGTCTTTAAGAGAGCTGGTCACTCATAGCTGCCTAGAGCGCCCAGGTGCAGAAATTTGCTACTTCAATGTTCATTGATGTTCATTGAACAGTGAGTGAGAACGACTTTTAGGAGAGCAAATGTTTTGGAAGGAGCTGTTGTTTCAAAGGGCTTTCTGCGTCGTTGAAACAGCACTAACATACAGTTCTTACAGTTCTTCGAAATTTGATTGTTTATGATATTTGCTCGGTCAAACACAGATTCAATCATAGAAGCCGCCAGAAGCTTGTGAGCAGCATGTATTCTCCTCATACTCTTGTTTTTGCGAACTTTTATAGAGATTCTTGGATACTATTACTGGGCGCGAGAGTCGACCGGCTAGTAAGATGCGCCATTCCTAACAATGGTAGGCTTTGAAAAATGAAGCGTTTCATAACTAGCAAATGAAATAAGTAGTCTACGCACTGCTGTTTTTTGATTGTTTGGTGGAAGAGCATTCACTTTTAGGTAGTAGATAGGATTTTATGAGCTGCTGTGCTCATCACCCTGCCATCCAATCATGGAAACTCTCATATCTTACAAGGGAAGAATGTTTAGTTGAAGTTGCTTTCCTTACTGAGATGTATACAATGTCAAAGGGGATAGAACGCTGATTTCAAAACTGCCTTCCTTATCTGCAGAATATTCATGGACCAGGAGTTGTGAGCGTTTTTTTTTTGAGTTAAATATTGAATGTGCATTAGTTAAAATGAGCTGCTAAAATCTTACTAGCCCTCAAATAATGAATCAAGTGTGACATAGTGAGCATCTTTCAAATAAAGTGCTCTGATGAACATCACTGCTACATTGAAGGGCTAGAAAAAGTATTGCGGCTATTTTTGCCCTACATGCACATTCAATTTTTTGCTCCAATAAGCATTCATGACTCGTCGTCCATAGATGTTCTGCAGATAAGGAAGGCAGATTTGGAATCAGAATTTTATGCCCCTCAGTATGGTATACATCCCATCTAAAAAGGCCAGTTCGACTAAACATGCATTCCTTTTTAGTTACACAGCATTACATGTCTCCTAATTTGGACGAGATCTATGTAAATGATATGGCCGCTGCCTTCTTGCTTAGCTACTCAGAGAATCGGCAGGCGTAGGCGGTTTGCTATCCGTAGGCAAGCGGGCACTAGGAAAATAGTTCGCTGATTTCTTGCGGTTTGCTTGGAGATATCCGAAAGAATGTTGGCTACAATTTAGACGAAATTTTTAGAGAACAATCGCGGCTTTTTCATAGAACAGTTGCGGCGCAGTGACCGCATCCTCGTGGACTTCCCGCGAAAAAGTGCAAAATTATTGAGGGCCGCACAGTCTTCGTGAATTACCGCACAGCCTGTAGGTACCTTCTGCTGAGAGAAATTACCCATCTCGGGCAATCGAACGACCAAAGTAACGATGACACCTTTACTACTCAGATAATCGCCGGGGGCAGGCGGCCCGCAAACTCGCGCTTTTCTGCAAGCGTTCAGCAGAATTTTGGGGCGTGGCCAAACCTTCAGCAAGCGGTACTTTCTTTATTGTCTAATGTTCTGCCAGCAGGCAGCAACACAGAATTTCCTGCAGGCGCTCGTCAAATAATGTCTTTCAGCGAGCGCTGGCCAAATTTTCAGCTAGTGCTCGTAC